TGGAAAGTTACAGTGATTTTTAGCACTGCATTTGATGGACTCTTTCAATGTATTCCTTTGGATGAGTTTTTCATGTTCAACAGTTCATATGCAAGTATAGGTTTGGTTGGGAAGAGTGCACTGAGATGTTCATTTCCACTGATCAATACCCAGTTTCTAAGAAGTCTTGTTTGTGGGAAGTAGGACAGAACAAAGACAAGTGGGATTTCTTTATTCGGTGTAATACCCTTGTTGGGGTTCACACGAGTCTTGCATTTTTCAAGGAAAGTGTGCTAAATATTTTCAAGTTTCAATTTTCATTATTAAGGCCATTCAGTTTTCAGCAATTAAGGGCATAAATAACATTGCAGTGGTCCACTCATTACTTTCCCCAGCACCTGATGCATGCCAATCTGCTCCCTGTATGAATGGCGGACAGTGCAGCAGTGATGCCAGCGGCTACACCTGTAACTGTCCTGGGGGCTTTACAGGAATCAACTGTGAAACTGGTGAGGGAGATGCCTTACTCTGCACCCCTATACCCTTGTACAAGTATGAATAACGGAGCAGTTGATATTAATCCATCAGGTCACTCATTGTGACTTTGAAAATTGGCAAGCTTTATTTCCAAGCATTCTTTGGTGGTTTGAGAAGAAACTCAAACATTTGTTGACTGTCATCTTGTGGGCTCCAAAATATCGGATTTGTAGTGTATTGCAGCTGTGTTGCATGACAGCATATATGTTTTGATAACAAGAACATTTCTTGATAGTTTTAAAGTGTGCTTTGCACTTTAACACTTCATTGAATTAACGGTAAGAATAACTTTGACCCTGATAGAAATGTGTGACTTTAACTACAGTTGTATTTTTACGGATCTGAAATAATGGAGGGTTCATTCTCTGGTAAAATTAAGAAAAACTAGCACTTGCTGGAACCAGAATGGCCAAATCACAGTGTTCCACTTGTTACTGTTTCCTAGCAATTGATGCATGCCAATCTGCTCCCTGTATGAATGGTGGACAATGCAGCAGTGATGCCAGCGGCTACACGTGTAACTGTCCTGGGGGCTTTACAGGAATCAACTGCGAAACTGGTAAGAGAGACACCTTACTTCCCACCAGTATCATCTCTCCTAGCCCTACCCATTTTAGGAACATGGTAGAAAACAAAGTCACAGGAATTTTCATGTACAGTATGTATTTTTCTTATTCAACTGAGTGTCCAGATTCTTTGAGACTTTTTGTGTCTGTGTTGAAATTAGCATGAATATTTGTTAGAAAATTTAAGCAATGTTGATATTTACTCTGGGACTAGATTGAAGGTGGTTAGATACTGTGTCTGCCTGGAAATGTCCAACAAATGTGTTTGGGCTTGTATTTGGACAAATGTCAGACTGGTTTTTCCTCTGATTTCAGCTTCCCCACAGCCTGACCCATGTGACTCAAATCCCTGCATGAAAGGTGCAGTCTGCAACAGCACTGGCCAGGCATACAAGTGCAGTTGTCCAGCTGGCTTCATAGGAACCAACTGCGAAACTGGTACGGAGAAGTATGCTTTATGAGGATTTTGTGTGAGCACTTGAAGAGTGTACAGATGTGTACTGTACAAATAGTATCGCATATTTCGAGTTGCCGTGATCTCTCACTGCAGTGCATAAGTAGCTATCATTGCTACACTAATCTGGCAAGCAGAAATTGAAGCCATGACTGCAGTGTCACCGTGTCTGTAAACAGGTGGTACACAAGTGATACATGCCTCTGGCAGCAATAGGGTGTTGTGATCTGTAAATTGTACACATGCCTGCCTATTAAAGTTACAGAATACATATGAGAGTGAGGAGCCTCTATGGATTGTTTTATGCTAATTGATAACTTCTTGTGTGCCTGGCAAAAGGTCGTAAGCGCGCTTACACCCTTTTGCCGGAAAGCATGATCACAGCAGAAAAAATGTCCCCAGCACAAGGTAAGAACTACAATCTCTTTATTTAGTGAAAACGGATAAAAGTTACTACAAAACCAACACAGGCTGTACAAAAAGCAACCTTTGAGCAACTTATTAAATGACTTGGGATATTTTAAAAAACTTTATATTTGAAATAAAACAGTTGCATACGTACGTCCTTTTGCAGGGAAAAGTTTTTTTGCAGTAATCATGCTTCCTGGCAAAAGGGCATACACACTTATGTCCTCTTTCCAGGCACATAACGAACTATTGATAGCTGTGATTTGGGATGTGATGTTTTACCACCCGAGAGTGGTATCCATCCCAAAAGTGATATAAACCTAATCATATCTCATATCATAAGAGTCAAAACTTGTTTTGTCATACCTCTGTCTTGAATTCGTGGCCGTATTGTCCCCATCTGAAGTGTCTTGATTTAGGTTGAAATGAAGTTGTACAACACAAGGACTCCTTGCCTCGGTTTCATTTTATTGGTGGATGGTTTTTATGTAGCAATACCAAGACAAAAATATGCCTCTGACAAAAAAAATTGAATTACTCTGCCAACAGCTGATTATATGATACCATTCATACATTTACATGGGAGATTGCTTCTCGCACTACAGTTAACAATTATCAACAGTATTAAAATAAAAGTAGCACAGGTAAATGAATATGAGATGTCTGGATAGGTGTCCCAGCATTGTGGTTTGGACCATGGGGGGCAGAGACTAGTCAATTATATCACAGTGTGATATGCACCGGGATGAGGGTCTTATTGATTTTCATTGACCGGTCCTGTGATTGTCTTGGGCCAATGAAAATTATTCCAGACAGAATTGTTACAAATATTTTTTTTCTGCTGACTTGCAGGCAAAGTGACTATTATCAACTTAACAACAAATGAGGATTTATTCCTGATACAACCAAAATGTTTCCACCTGTTCTCATTCAGATATAAGTGTTGAGGTTGATACTGGTTTTGATGTGCGATTGACTGGGGGTGCAGTGCCACAGGAAGGCATCCTGGAGGTATGGGTCAACGCAAGTTGAGCAGCCAATTTCAGCTCAACTTGTTTTCATACATCTTACTATGTGCTATAACAATGCAAACAAAATCTAAATACTTGGACGGGAAAAGGAGGTGGAAGTTTTTCATTTCTGAGAAAGTACTTCCATCAATGTATGCACAAGGGTGCTTACACATTGGAGGCTGGTCCAAGTAAGCACTCCATTAGCACTGATGTACATGTACCACTGTGCTTCTCATGTCGATACCAGAGTATTGTAACACTTTAGCACCCTCTTTAAATATACAGCCAAATGCAACCAATAGTGACTCATGTTAGTTTGTTTTGCAATATTTGTGAATGATGGGCCGTGCACAGCAGCCTGATATTGTAGCTCAAGTACAACACGTTGTCTGTCTCCAGAGATTTCCCAGAGGTCTGTGCGTTTGTACACAATGAATGGCAGATGAGATGGGCATGCACATCTACTGTCAGGATCAGAGAGCTGTCAGTATTTTCATGTCAGCCACCCCTGTAGTCGGCCTTGAGTAAAAACCACAGTGTGCTTCTTTCTGTGGATGGTTGCTTCCTTAAAACGCTTCAAACTAGGTAGTACCGTGAAGGATAGTTGCACAGCTTAGAATTAACACGAAATGCAAGGCTTTAGTGCTTCCATTGCTGTGAAATTGGTGCTTATGCCTCAAACTGAGTAGGGCCTACGGAACACTTGATTTGGTTCTGCCTGCATATTGCCAGATGGTGTTGACATGTCCTCTGGCAGGAAGTGGCCTAACATTTATCGAGAAGTGAAGGGTTTAGAGTGTCGTTTTGCTCAGCAAGCTTTTTATACACTTTCTGAATCTCCTCAAGGTTTCCTATGGGGAGACTTGGGGAGCCGTCTGCGCAGGCCAATGGTCCAAAGCATCGGCTGACGTTCTCTGCAAGGAGCTGGGCTTTGTCAGCGCCCTCGTCACCCTGGACAGACCCGCGCAAGATGCAACCCTGATCTGGCTGAACAGGATCAGCTGTACTGGCACAGAGGCCTCGCTGGACGAGTGCACGTATGACAAATTTGGCACCCCTGTCACATGTGATTCTGGGCAGGTAGCAGCCGTTGTGTGCAATGTGGGTAAGCATCATGAATGCATGGGTGCCAAGAAAGGAAATGTAGAGAGGAGTGTCAAAGCAATTAGTCGAAAAACAATGACAAGCTTTTTTTCATGATCTGTGCGGAACTGATGTTGTACTTTGTGGTTGTTTAAACTACAGGTACTTCCCACTTTGACCATTCTTCAGTTATGTAGCTCAAAGCAGGAAATAAAATTTGAGTTCTCAAAACAAAAGATTTTCTCTGTTATTAAAGAAACAGGTGGAAACAGAGTGTAACGGACTGTATGCAGTCAGATGATGAAGAACGCAGTGCAGGAGTTATCCCTAACCCCCCTATAAATTATCCACAATCTTGTTGGATTCTGCATGACTTTGATCATTAAAACCATAAATAAGTATTTGTTTTTCCAGTACAGGATCAAGAAAAAGTATGCTGATTTATGCCTGCGCTGAAGACCTTCCGAAACCAGTCAAGCACACATTTATTTCCATAGTACATAATTATTCTCCTAAATTGAAGACTGGCCATATGACTGGCTCTGTCAATGGAAATAGGGAAACTGTCTCAGGTGTTTATGAAGTATATAAACAGATAATGTGAATTTGCTGTTTGACAGCTATTTATAGTGCAAGAAACCTCCATTTTATTCATGGTAAACTCACCCGTCTTGCACCACAGAGCAACCGATTGTTCGTCTGGTTGATGGCTCCTCCCCTCTGGAAGGACGTGTAGAAGTGCGGGTCAATGGTGAATGGGGTGAGGTGTGCAACACTCTTTGGGACATTGAGGATGCCAACGTGTTGTGTAGTTACTTAGACTTTCCCTGGGCAGTCCAAGCAACGTTGAACAGGCAAGTTACTTTTGTGCTGGATACCAACTTTATACTATTATTTAGTGTCATTTTCTGAGTCAGATGGTGGTGGTTTGAAGGAGAGTTAGTGCCAACTGGCTTCCACTTCACCTGTACCTTATCTTCCCATCCTCAATTATCTTACCACCTCACCTCAAGCCACCTGACCTCACCTTGCCTCACCTCACTTATCCCCATCCAAAATCATCTCACCGTTCATCTTGTCTCATCTTTCTATACCTCACCACCTCTTCACCTTGACTTGCCTTCCTAGATGCACATCACTTTTCACCTTCACCTGAACTTGTGTTACTTCACATCACACCATTATGGATATACTAGGGCAGATGGGACATGTTAGGGTTTTTCATTGATGAATCCTTAATACCACAGGCACAGCTAGTGGCTTGCTTCACTTTGATTAGGGTCACTGAATTGGGATTTCTTTGAGCTTTGGATTAAAAAGTGCCTTTGTACACAATCTAGAGAATTCATATCAATGCTCATGTTGCATCTTTTACACGTTTATGAGACCAAGTGGCGTATATTTACTGATTCACTCATGTCATTTGTCTCTGTGATGGTAATATGTTGTTGCAGTTTTCCTCCGACTGGTCAACCATTGCCACTGCTTCTGGATTCAACTATCTGCTTCGGAGATGAGAAATCCTTCTTTGATTGCAGCTTCACGTACAAGCCGGAATCGTGCACTGGCTTTGCTGGAGTGACCTGCCAGTCTCGTAAGTGATGGACTACAATGTGCCCTCGACTCAATTCAGATCTCCCATTAATGTGCAAATAATGGAATCTAGGGTGAGGGGACAGTGTGGGTTGGGATTCGTCCTCCCTCCCCATTTTGAGTTTTCAAGGTTTTCTGTCGTATTTTAATTCCCCAATATAGACATGTACGCACTATGCTGCTCTCAAACCTGTAGGTCAGGTGCACAGGTCAGTTTAGAACTACCCTTAGAGGGCTGCTATGACACATTTAGTCCATTTCTGTCCATATCCTGTTACTCATCACAGCGGACCAGGCCGATGTACCCACCAGACTGGCTGGAGGCCGAGGCGACTACGAAGGTCGAGTCGAGTTGAACTTTGAAGGCCAGTGGGGCACTGTCTGTGACGATCTCTGGGACCTCGAGGATGCCCACGTGGTCTGTCGTCAGCTGGGCTTCAGGCGCGCTGGGCAGGCGGTTACAGATGCTGGTTTCGGGGAGGGCAAGGGAGACATTTTCTTGGATAACGTTGTCTGTACGGGCACCGAAGCGGGTCTAGCTTACTGTGGCCATGATGGTTGGAAGGAGTCTGATTGTGACCATGCCGAAGATGCCGGTGTTGTTTGCCTGTCAGGTATAAGTGGCTGTTGTCCTAGAAATGAGAGGTGCTTGCAATTGATACAAAATGCAGCTTAACCTCTTGCTCTATTTGTTTCACGCTTGTTTCACAGATAACAGTAAAGTCCCAAAAAGGAGTCTTGAGAATGTAGTTGTGCGTCCTTAAGCCGTATTTCAAGGGTTCTACTCACTTTATTGCCATTGAGGAAAAAATATTTGATCAATATAGGACATGACATCACCACTAAAAAGAACATGGCAGGGTTCCACACACAAATTTGATATAGGAGGCATTCTGTGTAGTGATTTTCAGTCACCAATTCACCCATTCCCAACTTTGGCTCATGGTGACGTTTGCTGACCAGCCAAACGAATGTTTGTGCATGAGGACTTAGTGCCAACAAACAGGATCCTGAAATGTCTCAAGTTGTTCATGTGACAGATGTTAATAAGACCAGCACATGGTTACAAATCGACTAAGGTGAATTGCATAACTTCAGCTGGAGTTGTTTACTCTGAAACAACAATCTCTGAAACGGCACAATTAATTAAACAACCATTGCCTTCTGAAATATGGATCAGTTTAGAACTAGAGAAAGATATTCCAAAGTAGTCAAGAGCCAAAACAACTTGTGTCAATCTAGAATTTGAACTCAGTAATTGCATTACACTTGACTTCTGTTGGGCAGAGCACAAACTGAGTTGCATTGCATACCGGCATGTGAAAATATCTGTGCAATATGAGCTTGAAATGAAATTTTCAGTCAAGTAGAAAACACAGTAGGCCGTAATTTGATACCAAGTCAATGATTTCTGGCTATTGTATTGGGAGAAAATGAATGTTAAGTTGGAGTTTATTGGGACACTGTGTATGCTGCTTTTGCACTTGACTGGAACTCTGTATCTTTGTCAACGCATTCTTCCTTTCAGAGGACGATCTGCAGGTGCGTTTGACAGGTGGGAGCAGCCCCAACCAAGGCCTTGTCGAGATGTATTTTGCTGGGGTAAGGCATGTCAGATTAACTTTTTCAAAGCTGAGACTATGGCCTAGAGCTTTATACATTACACAAGATAAAGCTGTGGTTGATGAGTTGCATCTTGGTAGGTTGGGGCTGCAGGCATGACAGTCTTCTGATTATAAAGGGAACTCTGTTATTTCCCCTGAAAATTTTTGGCCTTCATGTTCAATCTAAATTTGAAACAAAGCTGGGAGGGAGGTGAGTTGTCTGGGGGGTAATGTTGAATTTCTACTCTGGAGAAGAAAATCTCCCTTTCCTTGTGAGATTTCTACATTAGTTAATCGTTATAGTTTCATTTCATTGAAGTCGGTACTCCTATAATAATACTAGGGACGAAATGGGCTACTGACATTATCCCCTCTCAATTCCTTGAAGGTGGTAGCACCATTTCCAAAATGCTGGCATGTTTAATTGTCAACTGTACATCTGAGATCCTGAAGGGGGTTGGTGGAATCTGCCCTCATCAACTGTTAGAGGATTAGGTTTGACTGTGTGATGTTGCCATTTTTTGCCAGGAATGGGGCCATGTCTGCTCAACTGACTGGGGCCCCGAAGAATCAGAACTCATTTGCCGACAGCTGCAGTATGAGGGCGCCGAATCAGCCATCAGGGCCTTTGATCTTGGGGTTATTCCTGAGAGTGCCAACCCGACCCTCCTTGACTTGAACTGCGCCGGTAGTGAGCAGAGTCTCCAAGAATGCCTCCTGTCATTTATAGGCTCCCCGGCATGCTCGCCTGAATATGCTGCGGCTGTCATTTGTACAGGTGAATTAAACGGTCACTGCGATCAATTTGTTTCAGTACAAACAGTCTGAATGCACCCTTGTGTCTCATTCACATTATTTGTTACACTATCTTGAAAAGGTTATTTTCGGTTTTTATACTGATGAGTATTTCCATATTCATAAGCAATACTTTGACTTCATCCCCAGAAGAAAGCCTCACTGTTACATTGGTTTGTATACAAAAGTGCCAGATTTTTAAATTTTTTAATTTTCTTTTCATTGCTGATTCATTGTTGTGTATGTGCATAGCAATAAGTAAGTATCCATCCCTTTGTCAGAAATGTTTTCAGTAACTAAATTTTGGGTTTACAATTTGAACAGAAAAACCAATGCATTGAACTGTGTCTACCATTGGTGACATTGAAACAGTGCCCTCAGATGCCAAGGAAAGCGTAGATAACTTTAGAAGTGTTAAAAACGTGCATTTTTCAATGCATTTATCCAAAAACGAATACAAACAGTTTTCATATATTGAAGAAGAGCACAAAGTTCCAAGTGATACTTTAAATAACATTGCAAAACTTGTTTATACCGTCTTATTTGAAGTGTTCAGTAATTGTGTAGGGCAATTTTCTTTTTCATTCTGCTTCATGAGAGCCTTTCATGTTATTTCTGTAACCCGTGGTTCACATTTTAAAATAGCAGGAACCAAATTTCATGTTAATGTAATTCCCTTTTGAAAAAAATTTTGACTTCACACAATTCAGGATTCACGATACAAAAGAGATTTTGCCAATCAATACGAGAAATACAAAGTAAATGCAGAGAACACCAGTGGCCACAAATTGAAATCTGAGGTTTACAGAGAATGCAGGATTCTGTTAAAAAAGTTAAAATACACTTTGAGCTCAAGAAAAAAATTTGGTGCCAATGTTCTAGATGTACAGGTGAGTTGCGACGAGTCAGCATGATGGCAAAGTTTGGAATGCCCAGTTTGCCAAAACTCTGGGGCAAACTGCTCCCCGGAACATGCCTTTGCCACATGACTAGCTCAAGCTCTTATTGGACAACTTAAAAAGAGCCACACACGACTCCAATACTGATTGGTCATCTAGTATCTAGGCAGATGAGCACTCAGCAGAAGTTTATGGCTTTCACAGCTTGGAGTAAGGTTTGAACAACAACTAGGGATTAAGTGTCCCAACATCCTGCTGATCTACTGAAAAGTTTACTAGGAGTGTACACACTGGTGTACTGGTCAGAGATTAAAGGCAGTGGATACAAAGAGCATCCTGTGATCTTCTAAGAGAGCAGGAACATTAAAGATAAACTAAACAAAGAGCAGGCTATCTGATAAAAGGAACAGGCAATAGATCTAAAGGTTAACCACTGGAACACTGCTCACTAGTAGAAAAGTCGAAGCTCAGGAAAGAACAATTTAAATATGCAAAAGGAAAACATAGTCACGAAGAAATAAAATTTTAAGCTGTAACCCAAGACCTCTTTTGGGACGGGGTTACATTTCAAAGGCAAGTAATTGTGGTTACACGGCTACCTTGTGCTTTTATACATTTATAAAATTGAAAAGTATCTCCAATTTAAACTTGAGAAAATTCATGTTTAAACCTGGCATACGGACTTTCTGCATTCAGTCGGTAAGGTTCCTTACCTGTTCTATCTTCCCTGTCCCACTCTCTTTTGTGTGCATTTTAAGTCCCTCTGCATACTAGTGCCAGGGGTGCCATGCCCTTGGGCGACTCATTCCTTATCACTGTTACTAGGTGTCCAGCAGCAAATCACAGTAATTGTTGGTGTTTTTATTCCTTTTTGGGGGAGCTATGGCCCGCTTTGTCTCTCCCCACCCAATTCGCAAGTGGAAGTGTGGGAGGGATTTTATGAAATGTCTCAACCTTATTGTCAGCTGTCTGGACCCTTGCCCCATTTCGAGGGCAGTCGTAGACTGTTCCCCTATGCTTCCAAACCAATCCTGAAAGGGAATTACCAATTTCTTGTTTTAACCTCTTTCCTGTTTTCAGAAGCAGAAGATAAGATCCCAGCAGGAACTGTGCAATTGATCAATGATGGCATCGTGCCAACCCCAGGAGAGGGGCGGATTGAAGTCTATGAGAACGGCGCTTGGGGCAGCATCTGTAAGGATCCAGACTGGGACATGCGAGATGTGTCTGTGATCTGTAAACAACTGGGATACATCAGTGGCATTTCTGGTATGCAAGGGATGAAACTGGTTCTTCCCCAGAGAAGTACAAAATGACCATTTATTTTGGAGGGGGGAGTACTTTACACTGTGTGAATGGGCTATTCTGTTTAAGTCAGCTGTCTAGTAGTCTTTGTACCCAACACAAAGTCTGACCTTTCTCTGCTGCCCGAAAGATGTCAGTCGTATGTGGCAGGAACCAGTCTACGTTTTTGAAGCAGCTGCATGGGCACTTTGTGATGTTTTTCACCCGCTCAATGATGTATGTACAGTTAAGTTGTACTGGGCAAGTAACGTGAATGTACTGTATTCCCATGTACCTGTGCATGCATATATAGGCACTAGCATTGTGGCATGACTGAATTGAGAACTGCATCACTGTCTTCATGAAATGTAATTGCAGTAAAGTAGAGTTAAAAGGGGGGTGGCTGGACTTTGGCTAAGTCCTCATGGTAGCCGAATTTTGAATTGTTCAAGTCCAAGTCCCAATCCAAGTCGGAGTAAGTCCAAGTCCTTGAAAATTGGGACTTGAGTCTGGACTCCAGTCGGACTCTGAACTCAAGTCCTCCAGCACTGTTCACTCTGCCCTTGCATGCATACTACTTTGACAAACAAACTTTTTGCAAAGCTTAAGATTATGAAGTTATAATGCACTCATCATTTTCCAGCAATCCACTTTATGGCAGACGTAATGCATCACTTTGCATTACCCAATGTAAGTGAAGTTCAGATGGATTGTGGCTCTTACCTGTCCCTGTTTACATGCTGGGAAAGGACTTGTTTCAAATCCGTACCCTGCGTTAGGTTCACCGGTGTGTCCTAAGTCATAATGGCATTTTTTTAATCATCTTTTCATAGATGGAGTATCTGAGTACTACGGTGAACCTGATGCTACAAATAGATGGATGCAGAGAGTAGATTGTGCCGGCACGGAGGCCAACATTCTAGACTGCCCTAATGCAGGATGGAGCTCTGGTTGCACTTTCCTCAATAAGCCAGCAGCTGCTGTTTGCCTCACAGGTTAGACTTTTGGGCAGTGCTGCAGCGTGTGGGTGCTGTCAAAAGTCCATTACAAATTTAATCAAAGGCCAGCCACTGGTCCACTTGCACTAGTCCAGTCACAAGTAACAGGGATGAACAGTTCATTCGAAAAATAGTTTGACGTGACTTCAATTATGTGGCCTGTGATAGACTTGTGAGGACTTGACTCAGCTTCAGCCCTGTCTTTGATGAGGCTTTCGGTTGACATCCGGAATTCACACTGAAAAGGATTAAGCCATTTATGGACATATTTGAGAGCACTTTGAAGCACCCATACATGCAGATTACTGCAGTGGCACCACACTCAAAAGTGTACATTCTTAAAGTTCGAACAAACTTTCATTTGGCCAGATCAGGACACCCTGGTAGTCAAATGTGCAAAGTGTGCATATTTAAGCTTACAGGATTAGTGTATTTTAATTCTCAATCATCATTGTTTTAAGTTAGATCAAGCTGGTCCATTCCCGCTTTAGACAAGAATTTTGAAAATCACCTGTTCCATTGCTGTTTGCACAGAACCACTGGAGGTCCGCCTGGTCGGGGGTTCAAACCCCTATGAAGGCACCGTGGAGGTGTACTACAAAGGTGCTTGGGGCTCCATCTGTGATGACCTGTGGGATGTCAACAACGCCAATGTGGTGTGCCGGCAGCTCGGGTTCGGAAAAGCCAAAGAGGCAACCCGGAATGCGTACTTTGGCCGCAGCAATTTCGACCCCATTCACTTTGACGATGTTGAGTGTCAGGGCACAGAGAGCAAGCTTTCTGACTGTGAGCTGGATACCACCGTGCTCTGCACTCACAATGAAGATGCTGGAGTGATTTGCTGGCGTAAGTTGCTCACTCCAAAAGATTCAGGGAGACTTGCCAACCAAGATTGAACCATCACAAACACAAATGTAAAACAAGCAGTTTCTCTTCAAATGTTACTGCGCATTGTAAGTGATTGGGTGGGCAGAATGGGCATCATCAGATGTTATCCTTCAAGAAGACAACACTGATAGCTGACTGAAATAAGTGTGGAATATCAGTGTGTTAGTATGAGGCACAATAGCTCACCATTTCTGATCTGATCCCTTCATTCGTTACAAATGGGTTCATTCATTCAACTCATTCATAACAAATGCAATCAAGCCCTAGCTGTTGTATTTTTAAACAAGAGAGAGACTGCTAACACTTGATCCCTTTCTCAATCTAAATCCTTCTGATTCTGGCAGACTATGCCCTCCCCTCAACATCCCGACCAAACCCATTCCTATCTTTTTTTTTTGAAATTTAAATATGTTCCTTATGGGTATATATCATGAATTCTCAATGAAATGCAGTGAAGGGTTTTGTTACCATGGTCATTTTTGGCTACTGCCCTCACATTTTGGCACGCTTGCATTCAGTAAATGTCAGAGAGAAAAGTTCACAGTTGTGGCAATCTCTCAAAAATTCAGCCATAATGGTATCTCTGATTTTCAATAAAATAGGTATCAAAATTCTCTGAAGCCATAACTGGTAAAATTCCTGGAGGCTCAGCTTGGAAAAAAAACATGCCTTGCGATATTGGAAGCAGTGTTGAGGGGTGTCCATGCCTTCTGATTTGTGGGCTGCTGAGATGCGGGATATTGCATTTGTTTACACCTGTGGGATGCATATCACACGAGGTTTTAATGCAAATAAAAAAACCGAGACACCATGAGTAAAGTGATAATTACATAATGAGAAACAATATTCTTTCACCCTTCAGAGCCAGCAGACCTGGTCCGTTTGGCCGGCAGTGAGAATGCCAGTGAAGGTCGTGTGGAGGTCTACTCTAATGATGTGTGGAGCACTGTCTGCAATGACGGCTGGGACCTAACGGATGCGACGGTGGTCTGTAAGCAGCTGGGCTTCCTGCGGGCTGTTCGCATCACTGACTCGTTGGAGTTTGGCCAAGGCACAGGCGACATTCTGTTTGATGAAGTCCAGTGTACTGGCACCGAGGAACAAATCCAAGACTGTGTGGCTGCTGACCTAGCCAGCATTGATTGCGTCCACTCCGAGGATGTGGGCGTGGTTTGCTCTAATGAACCTGGTACATTCGCTCATTTCATTTGTCTTTCTGATATTTTTGACGTAGCCCTTCCTAAATACAAATAATGACAGTTTATTGGACTGGTTATTTGTTTTTAAAGCCTGCAATATTGATGTGAAATCAAAAGGCATAAAGTTGTTTTTTTTTCATGTTTAGTGAAGATTGACTTCATTTTCACAGGGTAATATTATTGTTGTTATCTTTGATTAGTTTCAAATTTAACAAAGGGGACTGTAAAGGAATTAAATGTTTTATTCCCAAGAAATTTACCCCTTATTCCTGGCAGAACCCGAGCCAGAAGTCCAGGTAGTCCTGGTTGATGGTGAGGCTGAGCACTTAGGACGTGTTGAGGTCCACCGCAATGGTGAACGGGGCATGATCTGTGACACGAACTGGGACCGAATGGACGGTGATGTGGTATGTCGCCAGCTGGGCTTTGAGCAGGGTGCCTATGCGGTCAAATCCTCGGCATACTTCGGGGAGGGCACCGGCCCTGCCGTGATGACAAACGTCAGTTGCGTTGGCACAGAGACAAACATCAGGGACTGCCCATTTAATGGCTGGGGCCAGGCAAGCTGTGCCAACACTTCAGGTGCTGGATTGGTGTGCATACCAAACACTGGTAAGGTTACAAAGATGACTTTAAGGAGGTTGGTTCTCCCACTCAAAATAGGTTGCTCGCTGAATTGTAGTTCTGTTCTACTAGCAATCCCTCATTAAGGCTTAAATTTAAATATAAGAAGACTGGAGTTGGGATCAAGCCCAAAGTCTGTTGTCTGAATATTCTAAATGAGCAAAATTGTGAGTGTTTACTCCCAGCTTAACATGGTAAGTGAGAAATGTACAAATATGTGGGAAATCATTTTTTTTTTCTGTCAGCATTGGGTTTTTTGTAATTAATGGTTTACGCAGCCTCAACCTACTGTATTAAAAACCCTGTGCATCCAGTGGTGAAAAAACAAAATACAGGAATCCTATCCTATTATATTGGTTCTTAATTGTTCCTCACAGTTAACAGGCGGTGTAGAAATCTGACTTCGTTTATCAGACTGGGTTTAGTAATAAGACTTTTCCATCTCCTTTACAGAACCTCCGAAAAAAATCCGCTTGGTTGATGGTGAGACAGAGAACAAGGGGCGAGTGGAAGTCTATTATCAAGGAGAGTGGGGCACTGTCTGTGATGATGAGTGGGACTCAGATGATGCTGATGTGGTGTGCCGGCAACTTGGCTATGGGCAGGGGGCCGTCCGAAGCGGGGGCTCCGATGAATTCGGCCAGGGCACCTATCAGATTCTGCTGGATGATGTGGAATGCAGCGGAAATGAAGGGAGACTGGAGGATTGTGACAGTTCAGCATGGGGCTCCCACAACTGTGGGCATGGAGAGGATGTTGGCGTCGTTTGTCGAGTAACCCGTGGTGAGATGTCAGCAAATTACATTACAAGGAAATCTCAACTGTGTTTTGATATCACATATGACTGCTGTGTTTGTTTCCATACTGTAGTGAATTTGTAATGGAGGAAGAACTTTTCACTTTTTGCAGAGGTGTAACGAGTCACTACGTTTTGTTACTTGAGTCGAGTCATTGTAAGTAGTGACTCAAGTCGAGTTGAGTCATTATAATACAGTGACTTGAGTCAAGTCATTAGGCAAAAAAGTTAAGTATTTTGTTCAAGTCAATTCGAGTTACAAACATTTAAACACAATATGATAAATAAAACAATAGAGGAAGTCATTTTTGGGGGCATTTTGACATGTATCTCAGTTTTACTACATGTAGTCACGCCACATCTTAAGCCTGGGTTCCATATCGATATAAGAAACACTGAGAGCAATGCAATCAAGGTGCAAACTGCAACGCAGACATATGGAAACGTGTCAAACCGAGGTATCTCCTATAAGGCAAATCGGCCCCAGTCAGATCGGCAAAGTTGAGCCCAGTTCAACTTTGCAGGCACAATGCAGACACCGACTGTCTACATTGTGTCACTGAGTAGGCCGATACAAACACACACTGGCATGACAGGTGTACAACAATGTTTCTCTCGCTTAGTACCACTCATTTTGTCCATTTTCTCCTTATTACTGGTATATGCCGCCCCAGTCGTCAACAAAATAGCTGACCATTAGCAAATTACATCAAACTGGAGTATCAGTTTGGTTTCAAGAGGCAACATTGCCTCCTAAAAAGGCATTTTGGGTCAAAATTTTCCAAGTGTTGGGCGCCATTTTGTTTAATATTTTGGGTGGAGTGACGTCATGTTGCGTCTCTTCTATGACTGTGTGATGTCTTGCAGACCGTCCTTGTTAAAAACAACGATATGGAAACCAGGCTTTACTCTTGGTGATAATGACACATGACATGAACATTATTAACCAGCATTATAAGTCATTGCATTTTTTGGAAAACAGTTTGCAAAAATGTTTTGGTACTTGAGTCTCATTGACTTTCACTCAAGTCGAGTCTTCTAATGAGGGACTTGAGTGTAGTCATTTGCTCAAGTGATTTGAGTCAAGTCATTTACTTTTGGGACTTGAGTCAAGTTGCCAAAAAATATGACTCGAGTTGTCATCAAAATAGTGCTGCCATATCCAGTACTTCAATTAGTTATTCCAAGCAGTTCCTCTGATGTGCAAATAAGCACCCTTTCAATCCTTCCTGGAGTCACTGAAGTCAGTGCTGATGGTGGATTGCATATTCCAATGGGCTTTCTGCAGAGAATAATGGCACGTTCAACATGTTTAACTTACTTGCAAAAATGCACCAAAGAGCAATGTTATCCCGTTTCTCCAATCCAAAATTCCATGTCTGGCAGAGAGTGGAGCTTTCGATTTCTCCCCTCTGTTAGATCCCAACGAACCGACAGTGCGTCTAGTGAGCGAGGATGGGCGAACGAATGCCGGCCGTGTGGAGGTCTACCATGACAGTGAGTGGGGGACTGTCTGTGACGACCTGTGGGATTTGGTGGATGCAGACGTGGTTTGCAGGCAGCTGGGTTTCGAGAATGGTGCACACAGTGTTGTGATTAATGCGGGCTTCGGCCAGGGCAAGGGTCCAATCATGCTGGACGACATCAACTGCGGAAGTGAAGACACACAGTTGGAGGACTGCCCAAGCAGTGGCTGGAGGCAAAGCGATTGCAATCATTTTGAAGATGCTGGTGCAATATGTCGCATAGATCCTGGTAAAGACATTTTTCTGTAAACTGTTCACAGAAAAGAAAGAGTTTTGTGAAACTCTAGCCAGAAATGACATGATATAGTTCTTTGCAATTACCAAGGAAAAAAATGATCTTTGCTAATAAAGGTGCTTTTCCTTAATACATTTGTCAGTACTGGGCTCAATATTTACAAAAGGAGAATAAAACACAGATGCTTTACTACACATTTTTACCATAAGTTATGAGAAATTTGAGTTCTGTAGTCGATTATTTGTCTGACTGTAATGTAATATGGACTATTAGAAATGGCATGGTCAGAAAATTGTAGAGGTTATCCATCATTTTTCATGGTTAACTTATCCAGTACAGCATAAGTAATATACATACAGAAGTTTGTTGAAATAACCATGGGAACGTGTGATATAACCACCAAGTTTTTACAAGCTGCGTACTCGTCCCATATATATATATACCATTGCTGTTGGTCCCCAATATGATCCCCAGAACTCTTATTTTCCCTCAGACTATCATTTGTTGCAAATGGCTGACTAGAGGCTTGCTCAAGTATTAACGTTGATAAGTAGATGGGTTGGAAACGTGTATGTTAGTTTAAGCCAGTGATAGTCATTAAAGGTAGTAAATTGTCATGATCTTTGCTTGGATAGAACCTGAGGTCACAATTCGCCTTGCTGGCGGCACAGAACCGAATACCGGACGTGTGGAGGTGTATTACGAAGGCGAGTGGGGCACCGTCTGCAATGACGGCTGGGACCTGGACGACGCTGCAGTGGTCTGTCGCCAGCTGGGCTTGGGTGAACCTGAAGCGGCGGCCGTGTCCGGAGAGTTTGGCCCTGGCACGGGCCATGTCCTAATGGATGAAGTGGCATGCTCCGGCTCTGAAGCACGACTGGAGGACTGCACCTTCCGTGGATGGAGGAATACCGACTGTGTGCACAGTGAAGATGTTGGGGTGACCTGCCAGCCTCCTGGTGAGGGTTGATCCTGTCACGGTCCTTGTGAAATTCCTTAATATGATCATAAATAGCCAAAATAATTAATTACTTTGCAACATTATTTTGAGTCCCGATTAAAAAGGAATCATGAACCAGTTTGCCTGTTCATCCATTTGATTGTTTGTTCATAAGTTTATTTATTTACTCATGAGTAGACCAGTCGATTGATTGGTCCATTTAAGGCTTTGTGTGCAAAAGTAAACAGTGAAACATTTTGGCTTGTATTGGATTGGCACATAACACAACAGCCTGTCGGCCCCTTCCCCCCAAATAAAGGAAATTAAAACAATAACTTCTCTTTGCCAGATCCCCCTGCAGAGGAGAGAGTACGGCTGGTCGGACCAGAGCCCCACTTGGGTCGTGTCGAGGTAAACTACAATAACGATTGGGGGACGGTCTGTGATGACAGGTGGAACATTGAGGATGCCAATGTGGTGTGCAGACAGCTGGGCTTCACCAACGGGGCTGGAAGAGCAGCAAGCAGTGCCGAATTTGGACAAGGTCTGAGTTATTCTGTATTCTCATTTTTCTTGGTGTTTACAAACCCTGTGAAAGGTGTGCTACATACTTGCTGATGCCAGGATCCCTGTCCATATCTTAAATTCCAAACCTGATTTGATGAAGAAGCTGATTATATGGCACGTGTTTACTCTTCTCCTTACTTGTCTGAAGGCGTGGGCCCAATCCTCCTGGACGAAGTTGCCTGCGTAGGCACTGAGAGCAGTATTGCAGATTGCCCCAGTGCAGGATGGGGAAACAACGACTGCGGCCACGCTGAAGATGCTGGCGTGGTTTGTGTGCCCAACGAAGGTAAGAACAAACTGTGTGGAAATTTACACTCTGCTTCCTTAGACTGTTGATGCTCATTTGCAGTGTTCATGTTAGTAAGAAAGATCATGTGCTGCTAGCACGGATGAACATTGGGGATGGGGGCAAGCACATTCCCCATTGAGTGTGTGCCTGTGCTCTCCAAAATGTCTATTTTTTTTTTTTGACTGCTGCTGTGAAGAGGCAAAGCATGGAAGCAGTAGCTCATGTCAGTGTGCCAACTGTGACAAGAGTGGCCAATTCCATGAAAATTGCACCGTGCATAGGTTGACTACTTTGATTTGACAAAGAGCCCGGCAGCTGTGCACAATTTTAAGGATTTGAGGTATCTTGGATGAGCAAAACAGTAGTTCCTGTGACAACTTTTTCTTTGCTATTTCTTGGTCACTAATTTGTTCAGCAGTGAGTTTAGTTTCCCTTGCCATTTGGAAGACTTTTGCTTCTCAGAATTAAATGATAAATCTCAAAGATCTCACATTGAAAGAAGCATTTCATGACCTGTTTAAGTAAAGCTCAGAATCTCTCAACCTGAACCCTTGATTAAGGTAGTTGAAGCGTCCATTTCCAGTTTGTTCATTGCAACTTGCACAACCTGCATTTAAAAGGATTTTAGAAGTCAAACCAATGATTAAATGCAAATTGAGAACTTGGGAATTTGGCATATTTTGTGAAATTTATCATGGCTTCTGACGCAGGTGAAGTCGAAACACCGTGCAAAGTAGTTTTGAAGAATCTTCATGACATCCCTTGTGCACACATTTTTACCAATACTGGGACTTACAGTCATTTGCAAAAGTTCAAGACCACCTTGAATTTTATTGGTATTTCTATCACTGGGCCTGCATTACATTGTCTCATTGACTGATTACTTAACATGATTTTACAGTGGTGCATAACATCAGTGTAGTGCTGTATACCCATTTCAATGAAATTTTTTGCAAAGGCAGGTCTTGTGTGACATTTTGTCTGCAAGGCAGCATGGGTAAAAAAAAGCCAGTCTAAGCAGTCAGAAATAAGGGAGGGAACACTGAATATTAGACTGTTAATGTCACGG